TGCTTAGGTATTTTTATCCAAAAATTACTTTTAATATAAAATATTACCAGTCAGATACCTTCTTCAAATATTTTCGATCTAGCACTCTTTTTGACAGACATATAATAAAGAGTGTTTTAGGGGACGCGCTTTGCATATATGGATGGAATTCGCATTCCAGGGGCCGCGCCTTCTTAATGTTCTGTCCGAGCTGACGCCACGATGGGAAGGCGTGTTCTCAGAGATACGCATTCGTGGGGAAATTGTGAAGGCGCGTTATATGGAGCGAGTTGCAGGGGCGCCTTCTATTATTCACCTTCAATTATGGCCCCTTTCATTATTACCCGACCTATCCCTTAAATCATGGCTACCTATCCCTATCTCCTATAAATACAGTCGAATGCAAATATCAAACCATAAAAAAATTAAATTCATATTATTCTTTCTATAAATTTATTCTATTAAGCTAAGTAGATTTTATTATATTTTTAAAAGGAAAATTGTTTTTTATTATATTATATTTATTTAATATTTAATTATTTTACCAAATTTTATTGTATTAATTATTTTTTAATACTTTTTGTGGTTGTAAAATAGAATGCAGGGTGTTACGATTAGATGATCTCAAGATATTTTATCGATATGGTACAAATATTAAATTGTGTTGTTTATATTATTGTGATATTTTTTTAGTATTAATTTATATTTTAATTCGTATACTATTTATTTAATTAGGTAATGATTATATATTATAATCATTTATTCATTTTTGTAAATATAAGACTCAACACTGAAAAATTCATGTACTACATCTCTCAAACTTCTCAAACCGTCTAACTCTCAATCTTTGAAACTCTCAAATTATAAATCTCAAACTCTCAAAATGAGAAGTATTTCAACTATTGTTTACTATAATTGAGAAATTCGGGAAGATAAAATCGGTATTGTTTTTGCATCAAATCATTCTATCACCTTATCCTTCAAGAGAAACATCGCTCTTGAGGAGTTGATCACTAAAATTTCAAGGAAAATTCATGTTGAAAGTACTAGAAGGCTGTTATCATTTTAGTACAAATTTCCAACTGCACTATTTCCGTTAACTTATACAATATTAGAACTCTCCAACGTTGACGATGTTGCTATAATAGTTAATGCTCATAATCAAAATTCAGACATTTTTACAAAAATGTGTGTTTCATTTATTGAAGTGTATGCGGTTCGTAGTATGTCATTATGCTCTCACTATGGGTTGGTTGAACAAGTTGATCAAGTGATAGCCCAACTCAATTAATGTGTAATGATTTTACCTCGTTAATGGCAAATCTACATCATTGTATTATTCCATCAAATTCAATAGGGAGACATTCATCAGCAACTTGTTACGATCTCTACCGAGGTGGCTCAACGAACAATCTGTATGATAACATCACTTCCACTACAAGGGAATACATTTATCTGTCAATTTCTTTGACCTGAATATGAAGATGTCCTCGAAACAACAATCTGTTCAATACATATTTGACAAGATGCCTTGAAATTATAGGGGAAGGCATTCAAGTGGGAGTTTTTTCGACCTCAATGTGAAGATACCTACGACACAACACTCAGTTCAAAAACCGTATGACAAGATACCTTCATGCTCAAGGGAAAGACATTCAACTACCAACTTGTTCGACCTAAATTCCTGCATCACATACAACCCTCATCTCCAAACTTCTCATCTACTACATCTCTCACCGTCTAACTCATGTTAATATATTTTTGACCAATGGAAAATTCACACAACTATGAATTCAATATTTTTTAAATTTAAATTACTAAAAAATTCAATTTAAAAATATATGATTATATTATATGTTTATGTTCAATATGCTTGTATTGTTTAGCAGTCGAATTTAAAAGGTTTATAACAGTTATTAAATATTAAAATGACATAGAATACCAGCTGCTAGAATAGCTCAGTTGGCTGGAAGGTTCAAGCCCTCCTTCTAGCGTATTTTTTAATTTTCATGGAAAATGTCACTACTTAATTACTCTTTTGGGTAAATTGAACAATTAGTCACTAAGTTTTAGACATTGACTGTTTTGATTATTAAACTATAAAACGTTTCATATCAGACACTAAGGGGTTGTTTGTTTACTTCAGAATGATTAAGCGTTGAATGATTCAAATGCTGAATGATTCAGAGGCTCTTAATGATTTGGCTATGAATTTAACATGATGTTTGATAACTAGCTCTGAATGATTCAGAATGTACTTCTGTGCTGAATCATTCAACATTGTTTTACTGAATCAGTCGGCACTGTTTTACTGAATCAGTCAGCACTGAATCATTCAGAGGTACAAAACAAACGCGCTGAATGCTGAACGGTTCAGCATTCAATGCTGAATGGTTCCATTAAGAGGCAAACAAACAGCCCTTAAATGTTTTGAGTTTTTTTCATTACATAGTTAAATTAATAACGAGGTGATGGCGTGCTGTTATCTTCTTCTTCCTTATAAAGAAATCATTAAATAATTTTTAGTTGTTAATCATCTTTTGCGATAAGATTAATACAAAACTATTTATATTTCTATCATTTTTAATTAAATTAGATTATTATAAAATTCATTTAAAATTGATTAAAAATAATTCAAATATTTGACCTTTTAAGACTATGTTATCTTTAGATGATTACCAAATGAATCTAATTTGGAAATATATTATTTATCTTCTTATGAGAACAATGTTTACCATATAAATTTAAAACAGACACCATATACTCCTCAAAACGTGATAAATTTAACAATGAAATAATCTCCAATTAATGAAATTATATTAGAATCTCATATAAATATTTCTAATAAAATCCGTGTCAATTTACCTTCATAGATAAATTATTGAATAAATTACCTTCCTCTTAGTCCACCGAATATCTCAAGTCGAATTAAAATTAAACAATATTTCCTAAACAAATAATAAACGCGAGTCATAAATCACACATAAATTTAGGGATGGGCATGAGTCGGTTTCGACCAACCCGATCAGACCAAAATTTTTTACATCATTCACACGACTCGATTCAGCCCGAAAAATATATATCCTCCACTCGACCTGACTTTTTGAGATAAAATCTTAATCCTATCTGACCGACCCGAAATAATAATAAAAAGTATGATTTAATTGAAAATTAATAATATATAGAGGGATATTATTATAATTATTCATAAATATATAAGGTAAAATTATATTTTTTGGGTCATGTCGGGTATTTTTCACCCTAAACTTGAATTCAACCCAACCCGAAAATCACCTTTAAAAAATTCTGATCCGATCCGAATCTGATTTTTTTTAAAAACCTCAACCCGATAACATTAAATTAGATCGAAATCCGTCAGGTTCGAGTCTATGCCCTTCCCTACATAAATTATTGGATAGACAGAAGAATACCCACCACACAGATTGCATACTTCACCACGTGACCAACCACCACATGACGAAGGTCCACGGTAAAGCTACACGCCCAAAACCTTTAGTTCTTCTTTCTCTTGCAGAGATCTTGATATATTATGTGTTATTTATAATTTTTTTATAAATTAAATGATTTAACAAAAAGGATCTTATAATTAAGGGACTATATTCATAATTTATCATTTTTATACGAGAAAACTTCTCATTTACGTAAAATAAACTCATTGATAATTTTTTTTTAAATTTATACATATTGTAATTGTAGTTAAAGGTGCACAAAAAAACTGAATATCCTATTTTGTTTAAAAAAATTACGAAATCGAATTTGGGAAAAACCGATTTTTTTAAAACCGGATCGGATATTTTAAAACAGGATAGTATAACCGGTTTGGGAAAAAATTGGACAACCGGATTAAAAACCAGATAAAAAATAGTTTTTAATCCAGAAAAAAATTCGGTCTGGGGTTTAAAAATCCGGTTTGAAGTTTAAAAAATTGGATGGCCGGATTTTTACCGGATTAAAAACCGGTTTTTTAAAAAAAACGGTTTTTTTCAAACCGAAACCGGTTACATCGTCTGACCCTCCAAACCAGTTATGATCCGAACCAATTTTTTTATAAATCGATTTTTTGACTTGATGAAAAAACCGAATCAATTTTTATCTGATCCGAATCAAATTTAAATCCGACTATGTAAATCTCTAATTGCAGTGTTAAGTTCATAAAGACGTAAATAAGGGTGTTTAAATCCGAATAACAGATTTTCCGGCACTTGAAATGTTAGGTACTCAAGATTTTCGAGTTTCAAAATTCTAGCTCATGTTTGGTTTGTAAAAGACGAGTGTAAGTTGGGTACCCATAAAATTTAGATATACGTATTTTCAAATCACGGATATCCGATTAATATTTATTTTATTTTATTAATTTATATTATTTTAAAAAAATCTATATAAAAAAAGCATAAAATTTAAAACTTAGAAATTTATAATACATAACATAAATATACAATTTATAAATTCATATTATATACTATAAAAATAAATTAAAAATATATAAAAATAAATTATAAAATTACAACTAATTTTAAAATTATTTAAGATTAAAATAAATAATTTTAAAAATAATTTAAATGTTAAGGTGTAACAATTTAAAAAATATATATAGATTTAGACCGTTAGGGTATAATAATTTTAAAATTAGAAATGAAAAATCTAATGTAAAATAGAAATATTAATAAAATAAATAAGAGAAATTAGGTCGGCGAGTATCCGATTAAGAGTAATTTTTTGATCCGGGTCTAACTCGAAAACCCACTAAAAATAATGGGTCATGTATCGGCCTGTAAAAACATGTAAGATAATTCGAATCGAATATTTTTGAACACCTTAAATAAACTCATTGATTAATTAAGTATATATCTGTCAACAGAGGACGAAGGCGGGGTCCACTAATCCAAAAAGAACAGCCACGTGTAAACCATGTGGCAAAATATTTAAAAAAAAACTCAAACTCCAGTTCTCACCATTTCGCGTATGCCCTCTCCATATATTTAATTGTTTCACTATTTCTCCCCGAATAATTCTTTTTTCGCTTTCGGTTTATTGAATTGAATCGAATCGAATCGAATCGATCGATTTTCTTCTTCTCCTTTCTCGTTCTCATTGTGGGTTTAATTTTGTTTTCGTCCCCAAAATTTGAATCCATGTCGAAGAAGAGGAAATCCGATGCTACGCGGTTGGACGAGATGGATCGGAGCATGTACACCACCTTCTGTAGCGCTGCTAATTCGCTTTCGCAGCTTTATGCTCAGGCCATGAACAACCAGCGTATCTCTTTCCAGGCCGGCGAACGTCACGCCCTGGTTAGCTTCTTTATTATCTCTTTGTGTTTTTATTCTAATATCTTTCAATCTCCCCCCCTGTTTATCTATGTGGCTGTAGCTCTTTATAATATATCGAGTATGGTGTATTTGTTCTGGTGAATTGCTAGTTTGCTATGTTTGATTTTCGCAACGTAATTGCTTTTTGCAACGTAATTGCTTTTTTTGGAACATAATTATGTGGAATGGAAAATTCATAAGAGATATGATTGCGTTTTGGGGGGATTAAACTGGGTTACTGTTTAATCGCCCTTTTGCTGTCGAAATTTTGTTGTGAATTGGTTAAAAAGGTGTTGTCTTTGTTTCGTTCTGATTATTTTATTTTATTTCCTTTAAAGAAGATGAGCCTGAAAATTTATGTTAATTTCGTTTAAGTATTGGATATAGTTATCTTAATTTTCTTTTCAAGATTTTTATGCATTTGGAGGCATCCACAAACCCTAGATATGAACTGAATATGAAACGTAAAACGGATACGAATGTTAAAAGAAGAGGCATTAAGCCCTCAAACAAATATATGATATCACTATGGCTATTTGAAGCTTCATGGTGGATCCTTTGAGCTTCTCAAAACAGTCATAGGTTAGTGCAAAAATCGATGATTGTTGGCAAGAACGCAACCATGAACGCTCAATCACCCTTGCTGTTGGTGCTTGAACTCGGGGCCTTGGGAATAATAACTATTCCTTTAACCAATGTGGTAGTTTGGTTCGGGCTGCTTCTAGTTCTTCACTCCTATTTTTTTTTTTTTTTTTTGGGGGGGGGGGTTGGTGTGTTATCTTGAATTTTCCTTGCTTTATTACTACATTGGCCCTGTTTTCTTGCTCCGGGTCGTCTCTAGTATCTGCTTTGTTTTTACTGCACTGATGACTGAAATGCTTCCCTATGATTACAGCTCTCGATTGTTAGACATTTATGCATACTTCAGTTTTACTATTGCGTTTTTATGTGTTCCTATTTGACCTTGGGTATTGTACATCTATTACATAAATCCTTCTTCAGGAGAATCTTTTTCAATGGATTTTGAGGCAGCAGCAAGAAGGATCACGGATGACAACAGCCGATATAGTTGCTTATTTGCAGGTACCTTTTGGAATTTCTTGCTCTTATTTGTTTTGATGAATATTTTTAGTGAAGAAACCTTTAAGGATTTTATAGATAAATTAATTGCCATTTCAAATTTCTGTAGAATGAACTTGAATATGAAGCAGAAGACTTTCCAATGTCACCCAGACCATCAATTGACCATAATGTTCAAACCACGACTCACATGAACACGTTAAGTGCTCCTTTTTCGTCCACACCAATTTCAGCATCAATAATCGGAATGGGAGCCCGTCCTTGTGATTATCAAGGAAAGAACTTGGGATTCTCAAATGCCATCTCAAGCCCGATTCGAGGGAGCCTTCAGCACTACCAGTCAGTCCAGGTTGGTTACCAATCAAATAATGTTGTATCATCATCTTCTGCTGGTAGACCTCAAAGCCATGAGACCAATCACAATAACCAACATAATGGGGAAGACGATTCTTCAATCTTCAATGATTGCATGGACATGCCTATGCATGCTGATAGTCCAGTCTATGAATAACCTTTCTCTGTTTTTTTTTCTTTAACCCCGGTTTAGATTTATTTGTTGTCAGGTATAGGAAACTCGAAACTCTCTGCAAATGTACTGAAGTTAAATGTTTATGTATCATTGTATTTTACATTTCTTAAAGGTAGATATGGCAATTTGTTTACATGTTTCATATAATATGTTTTCTTATGTCATAATTAGAGTTTTAATTGTGGTAAAAGTGCATTACATGTATAATATTCAAATGTTTGACCCCAAAGATATGCACCAAATTGCATTGAAGTTATCTTTTGTCACGAAGATTGTTGATGGATGCAGGATTTTATGTTAGGGACGAAGTTGAACATATAAAATTATGGGGAACGAAAAAAAATCAACAGAAAATGCATAGATGAAATCTAAAATATATGATAGTTTTAAACTTTTAGAGGGAGCGACAGTCTCCACCCGTCCTGTCTCGTCGAGGTCCATCCCTGACTGCGGCGTTGAAATGCTAAGTTAATGGAGCACTAGATTTACATCAGTTTTGAACTTCTTATGGAAATTAAAGTTTTATCTGCATGATATGTTATTGATACGACGCCGTTTCTTAAGATTCAAGTATAATACTAATGTCATTCATGTATCATACTAATGTACATTTGTATGGTTACAAGTAGAATTAATTAGTACAATACATAAATAATATTATAACTAATATGTTTATATAATTTATATTCAAAATTAATATTCATAATTTATATTGTTAGAGTATGTTAAATTAACATTAATTTAAATGGAAGCAAAAAGTAGGATGGAGTAAAAAGAGAGAAAATTGAAATTTGGATACATTTTTATTTAATTTATAATTTTTTTATAGTACAACAACGAATGTTATTATTAATAATAAAAACGAATGTTTTCTTATCAGCCGAAAGAAATTAATAATTTATAATAAATTTGAAATATTATATATTTTGAACAAATATATTTGGTGGGTCGACCAAGTTGTTTATCTTTTATCTATCATATTCTTTAAGTTATGTGTTCTGAACCCACTAAGAGTACTCTCATTCTTCTCTCTCTCCGATTAAAATTATCTAGGATTAGATCTAAGATTTATATATATATTATAATTTTAAAATAATAAATCTAATCAATTTTAAACTTTTAATATTTTCAAAACTATACATAATATTTATTTCTTGTTTCATTTTAGTACATCACCGTTTAAAATTTAATACAGTTAGTACTTAAACTATCCGTTTTGATTCGTTTTAGTACCAATACTGTTAATTTTTTTCAAAACATAATGTTAAATTTTGAACGGGATTATTCAAATGAAACAAAAATTAAACTTTAAGTGTGATTTGAAAAAAAAAATTAGGTATTAAAACAGACCAAAACTGATAGTATATGTACTAAACACATAATTTACCCTAGATGGCAATACAAATGGAAGTGTAGGCAAGAGAGCGTTGGGCAGCGTTTGTGAAGTGCGATAGCCGGCGAGTGAGAGCGGTCCAGTCGGCGGGAAGACCGGGACCAACTCTGACTCTCTCTCTCTCTCTCTCTCTGCAACTGAAAATGAATTCGGTTACCAAATTCTTTCCTTTTTATTTATTCATTTAAATCCTACAACACTGAAAGAAAAACAAGGACCGTTTCACCAGACCCGACCTTTTCGCCTCTGCTTTTAACTGTCTTTATGATTCGAACTTGACATAAAGATATTAATTGCAGCTTTAAACCACCAAGGCTGAACAGAGTGTTTCATTTCAGTTTCGTCGAAATCCCAGTATAAATCCAAACCCATCCTGTTTGGAGGAAAAGAAAAGAAAAAATGGATAGGTACCAGAGGATGGAGAAGCCAAAAGCAGAGATCCCAATAAACGAAAACGAAATTAGGATCACAACGCAAGGCTTAATCATGAATTACATTACCTATGCCACCACTCTCCTCTTAGTACCTCTCTCTCTCTCTCTCGTAATTTTGTTCATTTTCATATTTTACTTCTCATTGATGAAAATTTCATGTTCTTGTATAGGAGAAAGGGTCGAGTGAGATAGTTCTTAAAGCAATGGGAAGGGCCATTAACAAGACTGTGATGATTGCAGAGCTAATCAAGGTGTGATTCTCGAACTTGTAACACATTTTTCATATAATTCAACTTAAGAAAAAAACTTGTCTTTTTCAGAGGAGAATCGCTGATCTTCATCAAATCACTTCGATCGGATCAACCGATATAACAGACATGTGGGAGCCTCTAGAAGAAGGCTTGCTACCGTATGAAAACCACACTTTACACTCTTTTTACTGTTATTAAGGTTTCATAACTTATGTTATTCGAGTATCGAATACGAGTGTGACTGTGAGTGTCATATACGATTATCGTATCTTCATACCTGGAATCATGATGTTTTGCTCTGTGTCTCATTGTTACAGCCTCGAGATTACCCGTCATGTGTCGATGATCACCGTTACATTATCGAAGAAGGAGCTGGATATCTCCTCCACTGGGTAAATGGCTCAGAAACTATGTTCTGTTTACGTTTGATAGATGCTTGTTGTCTATAGAATGTGGTCTTATCAGATTAGTCTTTAAATGCAGATATCAAGCTCCTCTTCAGGCTGATCAAGTGAAGCCAATAAATGAATATGAAGAGGATGGAGGTAAGCAATCTTGTTTACTGAAGAAGAAAGGAAAGACAGCGGATTAGTGAAAATCTAATTGTTTTCATGTTGTTTAGCTCCTGAGACTCCACAAAAGCCGCCACGAGGGAGGGGTCGAGGTGGCCGAGGAAGGGTTAGGGGTAAAGGTAACACACCAGGTCTTCAATATTCGTGTTCAACACATATTCGAATATGGATACGATGATATATTCCTTTGAATACATGAAATGTTGCAGCTATTTTGTTGGCTGTCATGTTGAGTAAATATGTATGTTTATTGGAATGATGTGTTGTGGTGTGTCTCTAGGAAACTATGGAGTAGGGGAATATAATGGTGGTGATGGCCGAGGTGTAGGTGGCAAAGGTCGAGCACGAGGAAGAGGGCGTTCTTACAGGGGCCGAGGACGAGGCGATGCCTATGGTGGTGGTGGATACTATGGCTATGGTGAATCAGATGCTCCCCAAGCCCAAGGTCGTGGTAAGTTTGTGCTTTGGATTCTTTGAACTTACAAGTACATATGTTGTATTACACACAATAAAATCATTTCAACTTGTACAGGGCGTGGCCGTGAGAGGGGAAGAGGTGGCTGTGGCGGCGGCGGTCGTGGTCGATATTCAAGGTCGGATCAGGGGCCGAACCAAGCAAAAGCCGCTTGAGAAGTTGTACATTTTGTACACTTATATTCTATAAAATAGAAATAATAGAGCAGCGCTTTCTTTTTTTAATCTTACCAGGTTGGTTTATTTTATCATCAAAACCACGTATAAACTTTGATTAAACATATAATATTTTGTCCAAATTTATATCTATAAAGTATTGTTATTAAAAAATATTATAAAGTTTAGTGCAATAATATCTAACTAGGATGAGACTGCGTTGCTCGGATGTGGGTATGTTGAATAACAAGATCCACTGTTTCAGGCTCCGCCGGCCGTTCTGTTGCCGCTGCAAGTAGTGCCGGCCGATTCTTCTTCTCCTTGGCTTTTCCCCATAGAACAACGTATACTCCTATTACTATAATCACCGACCCTAATACATTGATATAAAGTAGTACCCTATAATAAAGCAACACTCGAGTTTAAGTTTGTAATGAAAAAAAAGGGAAGTCATGTCAATTAAGGACATAAAAGTTGACCACAGTAAGAATAAAAACGAAAACGAGGATGGTTATTCTTACCCAAATAGACCAGATAAAACCCCTAGGAACGTTACCTTCCATGTTAAATTTGCTTTACCGTCCCTACAGATGTAGGATAAAGTTGAAGGAGAAATAGTTCAACCAATTCTATGTACATATATTGGAATCCGAAACTAAATCCAGTTGATTCAGATAATCACGAGGAAATATTAAATTGCCTTTCGAATCTGAAAGCAAGGGGGGCAACAGAAGCAGTGGCGAAGATAAATCTGTAAGCAATGAGTACCCTCATGCTTATTCTCTCTATCACAGCCAGTTTATAGAACACAATCACTCCTGCAAGTGCTGCTTGAACCACCAATAGAACTATCACTACTTTCACCCTCTCTACAATCTCACCCAGTCGTGTATATTCTCCAGTAAAACCCATGAAATCATATATACATATATATTCCTTAGAAGCATGTTGTACAGCAGTAAGGACAAGCGTTGATCAAAGGATTGACCCTTTGAACGTTTGGCCGTCTAGTCTTGATGTATTCCTGAGAATCATACTAGCTGCTTAATTTAAGGGGAAATTTTGACAACAAATGGAACGTTTTCTGGGATATTTGGATTGTTGTGAGGGGCTTAGTTTGTCTTGTTCATGGCCCTTCTCTGCGTTTGAGATTATGATTTTTTAGTTATTACGGGTTCAATTGGAAGTAGTGGTCTCTTTTAGTTTCTTGGTACCTGCAGTTTCCAATTTGTTGTATGGAAGTAGTGGTTTCTTTTAGTTTCTCGGTATCTGCTGCTTTCTCCGGTGCTGATTCGGGTTCGATCACGACTCGTAGTTAAACTAGCTTCGAGATATATAACTATATCGACATACACTTGATTTGATGTTAGGAGTGAATTTAAACAGTTGAATTTTTAAATTTTTGGAATCAAATTTAAACTTATAAATTTTTTATAAAAAAATATAAAATATATGTTAATTTTAAATTGGGTAAACTACTTAAATGATCATTAATATTTGAGTAAAATTTTGTTTTTACCACTAATATTTCAAAAATCACAAATTAATTATTAACGTTGTCGTTTGTTATAAATTAATCAATCAACGTTAATAACAATTTAAATATATGACGGAAAGCACAGTTAAACCGTTACATACCACCTTAGATTGCCACGGTGGCGACTCTAACAGTCACCTCTTCCCTTCAAATAAAAATCCAATTTCTAACCCTAATTTATCCATTTTCATTCATATTTTCTTTTGTTTAAAATTTCTCAGAAAATTCCTAAGAGTCGAATGCCTCTTTTGATGTGTGAGTGGGTGTTTCTGATTTTCTCTTCAACTTTCTCTCATCTCACTTTCTTTCCTATCTTTTCTTTCTTCCCAAACAAACACTCTTCATCTCAAAAATTAATTTTTTTTTGCCTTCTCTTGAATCAAAATTCCCCCCAAAGGTAATTTCTTTTGCCTTAGTCTTTTATTTTTCTACATCGATCCGGTTTGGTGGTGTTGTTCAAAGCAAAGGCTTCGCTTGTTTTAAATTCTTCTTTTTCTCACTTCTGTTTTCCTTCGTAGAACTATTTACTTACTATATATATTTACATATGATTTCATCATCTCCTTTGTCTTCTCAACTTCTGGGTTCCTTTCTTGTTTAGTCCAACGTTACCAGGAAAGAAAATCAAGTCTGTGAGTTTTGAAACAGTAGCTTTCTTTCATGGCATCTGTCTACTGCATGTTTCAGATTTGGGTTTCATCTCTTTCTTTGTTTTATTTCATGAAGCTTTTTGTGTTTGCTGCCTCGTTCAGTTTCTTACATGGTTTCAAAATTTTCCCATTTATATGTATTAATCCTTGCCTTTATTCTCCCTATTATCTAATTAATTATGTTTTTCCTTTTTTATGGAGCTTGATCATTTGTTTTAGACTTTTGGTATTGGATGGTGTTGCCAAAGTCTCAAAGATCAATACTTTTCACCTCCCTGGGTTTGCTCACATAAAATAACATTCCTCCATGAACATCTTCCCTCGCGAGGTTATGTTCTTTGCTTTCTTTGATGAACCAAAATCGAACATGCTTCGAATATGCTTCCCCTCTTTTATGTAACTCTGAAGTGGAAACTAGGGACCACCTTTTCCTATTATGCCCTATTGATGTTTCTCTTTGGGAATAAATCTTCTGTTTGCATTTTACAGGCTACTTATGAGAAATAATTTTTGAAAATGGCGAGCTCTAATTGAAAATGAAAATCATTGTTATCTATTGTAATGAAGATTACGCATTGGTTTACTTGCTTTGAGAAGAAAGGAACAGAAAACTGTATCAAGGTCGATCTAGGTCTGTTAACGAACTTCTAAAAGATATTAAATCTATTGTATGTCTTCAATTAAATGACAGAAAATTCAATAGAGTAGATAATATGAATCTTATTCTATACAATCATTGGGTATTGATGACCACTGAATTTTATATTGTAAATTATTTGTATTAAACTTTGATTGTATTTGTAACTTATTGTTATTTGGATAATAAAATTTTGATTTATCCAAAAAGAAAAAATAACGTTATTTCACTGTCTTACCTTTCCCATCTTCTTCTTACCATCTCATCTTCTTACTTGTCTCTATTAATGCAGACTATATGTGAATGAAGATGCGATTGGGATACTGTTTGATCTTGTGAGTACTGTTTGCTAGGAAGAAATTATAAGAGAAGAAGAGAGGAATAAGAAGAAACTTCCTGAAAAATTTTAAACAAAAGATAATATGAACAAATATGGGTAAATTAAGGTTAGAGGTTGGGTTTTTACATGGGGGAAGGTAACTCTTGGAGACATTTGACTCTCCACCGTGACAATCTAAGTAAATAGATAACGTCTACTATGACAATCTAGGTAAGTAGATGACGTCGAGTGATCAATTTGTAACAAATAATAACGCTAGTAATAGATTTGTGACTTTTGAAATATCAATAGTGAAAATAAAAATTTACTCAAACATTAGGTGCTGGTTTGGCTTCACCCGATCGTCTTAATTCAATCTTTACAAGAGCAACGAGCACAGAAAACGACCTTATATCCATGCCAGCGATTTTGCATACTCTTCGGCTGTTGATTTTATCAATATTTTTATCCTAAAATTTTATTTATATCGATTTTATATGAATTTATTTTATTAATGTGAATGTATCCATCTTAAAAATTATTTCTGGATAGTTGATTCTAAAGTAACATATTATCTCCAAGGCAATAGTCAATATTTTGTTAGCAAAAATTATGAATTAACATGTTGTGAACGAATGTCTTGGCACAAAAAATCCATTTCAAGTCACCTTATACTATATTATATGGAAGATTTTTTTAAAAAAAATTATACTAATAAATTTAATAAAATCACATTATCAAGTACAATAATCTTATGTATTACTATTACATGTTAAGAAAATTTATGTTATATAAATATCACATTATTAACGTGTTATTCTTTGAGGTCTCGAGTTCGAGCAATAATGATTGTTAGGATGTGAGCGTGTAATGTCAAATAGTTGAGATTTATCTTTAAACTGATAGTTTAGATATTAAACACGTTAATTTTTTAACGGCGTGGTATTAAATTGAAATAAAAATAAACGTTAGGTATGATTTTGAAAAAAATTACAAGTTTCAGTACTAAAACAGATCAAAATTAATAATTTAAATATTAAATGAGTAATTTATCCATTAATTAATTAATAGATCACATACATGGTAGAGCGCAAGGCTCTTAACCTTGTGATCGTGAGATCGAGTCCCACTGAGGGTAATTCATAACGGAAGTCTTCTACGTAAGTTACTCTCAACCTGACGTTGGGATAGCCTATTAATTTACCGCCTCTTATCTCATTACATATGGGAATTGAGTTAGCTAATTTTTTTATACATGAAAAATGTCGATGGAAAAGGATCAAAACCCGGAATAGCTAATTTTTTAGTTATATCCAACAACCGACAAAAGCCATAATATAGTAAGCACTCTCTGCGGCTTTACTCTTCAGAAACAGATCAGCCATTATTAACCGTCGTTTAGCTCAAACAGCATTGTTACTTGATTTTCATAGCAAAAATGAGCATAAACGCGATGGGTTTTTCACTCAGAATCAACCCCTCTACCTGCTTCACTCAAAACCCACCAAAACCCTCCTCCAAACCTAGGTTTCTAACCATTAGATGCTCCCTCCCTCTCTCCTCTGACGGTGCCGCCACTGGTAACTTCTTTTATTTTTCTTTCTTTTTTCCTTTAACTTTGAAAAAATGTTGAATGTTTTTGGTTGTTTGGGTGGTTTCAGGGTTGGCGGAGAGGCCGTGGAAGGTAGCGGATGCTAGGCTGGTTCTTGAAGATGGTTCTATTTGGAGGGCTAAATCCTTTGGTTCCTCTGGAACCCAAGTTGGTGAAGTGGCTTTCAACACTTCCCAGACGGGGTAAAGATGATACAATGTTTTGAATTTCAATTTCTCTTTGTGATTTGAACTAAATTAAAAAGT